AAATCTATACCTGATTATTCTCCATCGTTGCGATACAATATTGTAAATACATCGCGCCTTTTTTTTGTGTGGATTGTATGTCTGCTGGCCAAGCAAAGATTAGTTTGGTCTAAGGAAGTGTAGTGTGTGGTTAGCAGGAGCGAAGCGATAGAGGAACGACGATATTTCCTTTCGTCTCTCATAATTCCTCCAGTGGAAGCGTATGAGGAATTGCCTAGAATCCAAACGGCTGTGAGCAGCATCTTTCGGGACCAAATTCTTCCCGGCAAAACTGTAGAGGGGGTTTTTTTTTTGTTAAACCGAACCGTTTTGTAGTTTAGAATCCTAATAAAGCGTGATTCCGTTTAACCAACACTGCATGCAAAAAGAATTTATCGACATGTTCAAGAATATAGCAGTCGATGGGTCGGATGTTTAATGAGTATGTGTTGGATGAGAAAACATTTCGTAGCGCAAACCGTCAAGCTTTTGTAACTTTGCCCTGCGTACATGTTATATGGTGCGTTCTTGCACGGGAGAATTGTTTTCGGACAAATGAAGATACTAGTGCTGCATGGAAAAAAGATTGGAACAGGAGTGACAGTTTTGATGAATTTGAAGAATTTTGTAGGGTGAAAACAGTGCTGCTGACTTATACATGGAGAACAGCAGTGCATGTCGCATGGCTTACGAAGAGCTTCGGAGGATTCCGCCAGTGAATCGGCATATCCTTTCCATCCAGAGTCACGTTGTGCACGGTTATGTTGGAAATAAATGCAGCGTCTTTCCCCTGCAGGTTTATTTTTCCTTCCTTGACGAGGTTTTTTTTTCTTTTTTGCTGAAAATCGCCATTTTGAATAAATAAACTAGTATTACTAGTTACAGCTTTCTCTTTGGTGCTTCATTGCGGGATATTTCAAAAATCGGTTAAAATAACGTAAAGGCTTCATAACGAAGATTGCACTGGAAGTTTTGAAGCGAAAACTGCATTCTGTATCGTAAATGCGATCGTTTTTCTAACATTCCGAAATTACTGTAATGGATGTAGGACTCAGCTGCCAGTTGCACTAGGCCTCCCAGGGA